CGGTCTCTTTACTCCTGGGTCTCTAAAGGGCTTGTCCTTCACCAGGAACATGCATGTATGTGGGTCTCCAGGGCTCACTCGTTCTTCTTACGGCCTTGCCCCGCATGACTCCGTTCACACCAATGACAATGTGAAGGTCATCTTCATGGGTCTTTCCAACCCAAATCCCTGGCAACCACTGAGGCCCTTGCTTCATACCTGGTTGTCGATGGAGAAGAAGAACATACTCACCAAAGCAAACCACCTTTCCCATGTATCTTCGACCATAGGCCAGCTCGAAAGGTGTAGAGCTCAAAGCGCTGTGGATGCCAAACCTATTCAAGATCCAAGCCGCATGCAGGTATGACCAATACCACATGGCATGACTCCCATCCAAATGCAGCATGCACTTACTCTCAGCCATCTCCATCAATGTTGAGGCTTGCTTCCTGAGAGTTGCAATGGCTCGCTCCACTCGGCCTGCTTGGCCTTTCTTCATGCTATTGGTGATGGTGGTTTCCAGGCCAAGACTATGTCGAATGGACTTCACATAGGTCAGCAAGGCCTTCATGGTAGGTTCACTGTCTCCAATCATCTCAATGTTGCCGTAGTGGTTGAGAGCTAATGTGAACCTGACAACATGTTCAGCTTGTCCTCTGAGATCAGCACCTTTCGACTCTACAGGGACAGCTAACAGCATGCGGGTTTCAGCATCAATGCCCACCAAAATCACCACCAGCTCCTCTTGCTTCTTTTGGTCAGACCGTCCAAAAGCATAGTCCAGCTGGATGCTGGGAGCTGATCTCCTGCCTTCCTCTGAGTGGTCCAACACCCGCTGAGGATCGCTCTTTCCCTTGCAGGCCACGCAGAAGTCGCACCAATCTCGGTAAGGTACGTGCGTCAGTTCGTGAAGCTCTCGTTCTTCATTCGAAGGTTGACGGGGAGCTCGAATCGCAACCAATCCTTTGTGCTTGTTCTGCTCCTTATACAACCGATTGGCCACAATGAACATATCTCGATGTTCAATCTTTTGGATCTCCTGGTTGAGTCTCGTCCATATGCTGTGTTTTGATCCTCCTCGACCCAAACCTAGGAACTCTGCAGCTTCACGAAGATGTGCAAGGGAGCTCTTCTCACTCAACTGCTGTCCATTAACTTGCAACATCTCTTTGTTCTCGAACAGGGGCATAGGACCATCCCAAGAACCACCAACATCTGCTTGGTCCATTTCCTCGGGTTGCTGAACGTGCTGAGGATCGAGTTCTTGTGGCACCATAGGCTCACCAGCAAACTGAAAATCCTGACTATCGACATCTACTCCTCCAGCAGTCACAGTTTGCTCGCCAACAACCGTGCCAAAGAAAGCCAAAGGTTCTTTCTTCCTGTGGAGCACTGTCAACACCTGAGTTTCAATGCCTCGGCATTCTGGAATCTCACCATCGGGCTCTTCTGTGGTGTAGTACTGATTGCAATGCTCCACAATCTCCCAGGTGTCGTCGTCCTTCCTGATCAAAGTTGATCTCAAAGGCCACCAGTTCAAATTCCAGATCAACTGTCCATTCACAAAATTCTTGCTACTATAGCTGAAACGCACTGGATTACCTTCTGGGGTGGTCTTCCATGCTCTGAGGCCATAGTTCTCCCAGAATTTGCTGTGCAGCTGCAGGACGGTTTGGATCACCAGTACCTCATCATCATCATGATGTTGACCATCTCCAGGACCCCCTTCAATTTCATCTGGTTCGTGCAAAATCCTCCTGATGGAACCAAACAAGGCCAAAGAATTCTTCTTGAACCTCAAAGGAATTTGGCATTCCTGGTCAGGAGCTTGTAGGTGAACACCAGCTTCTCCATCTCCGGGAATCATCCGCCATCCCCGTTGGAGGAGTCTTCCAAGACTGATCAAAGGTGTCTGAACTGATGCCACCACGAAGTCATCCTCAATAACGACCGTTTCACGGCTTCCTTCACACTCAATTTGAGCAATCTTCTTTCCAAAAGTTCGAAGCCTTCCTCCTTGGGCATCTTCAAGAACGGCCTTTCCTCCTCCACTTGCTTTTCCACACGAGGACATACTCTTGGGCAAGAGGCTGATGTCAGCTCCTGAATCAAGAACAATGAGCATCTTCCTTTCAGTTTCTTGCACGGTACAAACGCTGAAGACTTGAACCTTCTCTTCATCTTGTGCAGGAAGTGAATACCTTCTCAATGCAATGTCCTGGAACCAGCGGTATACATTGTCTGACTGCATGACATCCTCTTCTTCCACCTCAGAGTTCTCTTCGTGGATCACAAAGGTCACTGTATTGATCTGGTTGCAGTCGTCCTCATACCACCAGTCTTCACCATCCTCACTCTTCAAATCAAACAGCACAGGGCTTTGTTCAGCTCTAGGTGTCTCGAGATGGTACATCCTCACCTGTCGAATCTGAGGCCTCGTAGCTGTTGTTGATGCTATGGATGATCCATTGCCTTGAACTTTTCCACCTGCTGAACTGGCAATCTCGCTCTCAGCATACGTCGTGCTGTTGGTGGCAGTTGTCACAGTGTTGGCTTTATTAGGGCACTCATTTCCCCAATGTCCTTGTTGGCCACAGATCCTGCACGTATTTCGATCTTGACCTCCTTTGCCTTTTCCTCCAAAAGGCTTACCTTTTCCTTTCTTGCCCTTCTTTCCTTTGCCTTTCGTCTTGCCTTTACCCTTCTGTGACTTGCCACTGGCCTTTCCACCAAAGCCATAAGGGAACCATCCCTTCTGTTTGCCTTTGCCCTTCTTGCCTCCTTTAAACTTTCCTTTACCTCCAACCATGTTGACATTGTCAACCTCCATGGGAGTAGGGCCACCCGGGTCATTCTTCAAGGAGTTCTGCACCAACTTCAAATAAGAATCACCACTCCAAACTCGGGAGTTCTTATCCATGAGGATGAGCTTCTCTTTCAACCCCTCATAGGTGATGCTATCATCCATGGTCAACTCAAGGTGCCTCCTCAAATTGGGTTCGATGCATCGCAGCACAGTGGCCACAACCAAATCGTCTGGCATAGGATGCCCAGAAGCCACTCGATACTGGTCCAACAACAAGTCCATCTGTAAAAGACTTTCCAGCATCGAACGATCTCGAGCAAAGTTGGGGTGGCTCATGATGGCTTGTCCAATTGCCATGACACGTGGGGGTGCACGAGGCATATACAAGTCACGAAGTTGTTGCCATACACGAAATCCATTCTTTTCACTGGACTCAGCACGCACCAACTGAAGGGCAGGACCTTTGATGTACGAAGCCAAGATGGAGTACAAGCGAGTAGCAAGCTGACGAATCTCAGCCGTGGCAAAATCTGACAGCTGACATGGTTCGTCCAGGGCTCCAACATCTCTCAAGAGCTCAGCAAATCTTGAATCCCCATACGAGAGCCAGTTCACAAACGTCTCTCTCCAGGCCACATACTTGAGGGGATCATCACCATCTAGTGAATCTGGAGCTCTCAACACTTTGCTGGCTTCTCCAAAATTTCCACCTTCTTTCCTCTGCTCCATCTTCTCCAAGGCTGAGGCTGAAGCTCGGGCTGCAGTCGTAGCGGCTTCGGTTAGCTGCATCATCTGGTTCATCATCTGAGCCGCTTGACCTGCATCCATGGATTGCGCCGTGGTCCAACAGCCAAGGAACAAAAGGCCTTTCAGCCGTAGCCTGAACTCGAAGCACTCCTTCAACTTACCATTCCATCTCTTCTTCCTCAAGCTCAAACGGCCCACTTCTTGTCGTTTCCGGCATCGGCATTGGGCAACCCGACTCCTCAGGATCGTCCAAAGAACAGCTCCTAGCAGGACGAGCAAACATAGACATAGTCCAACCTTCTTGTACTCGATGTTCTCCATCACCTCGGTCATGTCAATGTCTTTGATGAAGACCTGTCCATAGTTCACCACAGTCATAAGGACCAAGGGCATCTTCAGAGTGAAGCCTCCATTCATGACCTCAAGAGCCTCGTCATCGGTCAGGTTGAAGTCCCAGCCATAGTGCTCTTCAATGGCATAGTCAGGGTTCCAATCCCTGGCTGTCCAACACCGTTCAACTCTTTCTGGACCCTTCCAGGGTTGAACATCTTCAAAGTCGAGGGGCCAATCCACGACTTCTGCTGGGCACACCTGCCAATCCTCATGTCTGCTAGCATTCTTCGGTTCTGGCTCTTCCCCAATTGGCTTCTCTACAGTCACAAGACTGGTTCCCATCCAGCTCCTGTGCCACTCATCCCTCATGGTGGTTCCAATCCACCTCATACCAAACCAAATGCCATCTCCGAGGGCCCAATCCTCGGACCAATCAGGTCCATAGTCCACGGTCACCACCTGCTCGGTCTCCATCACCTTGTACTCGAAGGACTCGGTCTCCTGCTTGTAGTCGATGTCGTCCATGCGCTCAACGCTCGGGCTAGTCATCATCAGAAAGAGCACTGCCAGCGTCCAACGGCATGGCAAACGGCCCGTCGGAGCCGGAGCTGACACTTTGGTCAGCTCCGCTACCATGACAAAATGCGGAAGCGCGCACCCTTTTCATAAATGAGCTTGGGCCGCTAGGACCAGGGTTCAAGTCATGTAAAGTCTTGACATGTAAGATGTGAGGTGGAACTGGCAAAAAATACATGTTCGTCAAGATGCAAAGTGTTCCAACCCGTAAAACTTCCATGCTACAAGCATTTCAAAGCGTATGTTCAAGTTCATCAACACCCTGGCTTCTTCGAAGTGCTCTGAGAGGATGTCGAGGTACAGTAGCTGGAATCTCCTCTCTCACCCATGCTGTTGTGGGGCCTTGCTGTGTTTCCCACGTGTTCACTCTTTGGGAGACTCCCAAACAAAAACACCCAACATCCACCAAATCGGTCCACCCTGATCCAAGAAAAACAGAACCACCCCGGGCACCCCTAAGCGTTCTGCAGGTCTGGTATACTGAGTATACTGGTCCTTTGCCGTCTGGCTGGTGTCTGGCTTCCGGAACACCCACCGGCGATTTCCCGGCCGTCCGCGCCTCCGGAGCAAAGGTGCCTCTCCGAGTCGCCGAGAGTTGCGGAGAGTCGCGGGTCGCGGCGGCACCGAGTCGGTGGGATGGTGGGACCTGTTTTCGGGTTCGACTGAATGGATTCTTTTGCTGATTTTCGGGTGAGGGCCATTGTGTGTGACATGGTGGGGGATAGATGATAAACCCTAGTACATTCCAGTTGTACCTTGTCAGGTTCGGTACGACTGATTACGACTGGACCCGACAATGGCACCGGAAAAAAAAGGTAAAGACAACACACCACTGTACCTCAGAGGGTATGTAAATTCTTCGCAAACAGAGATGTGAGGGTGCTGATGACTGGAGCGAATCCACTCGTGGAGTGTGGGAGTATTAGGAGGTCTGTATAGGGCCAGTATAGGGTTAAGTTATGTTATATATAAACACGACCTCAGCTTATTTTCCCACGCGTTGCAGAATGTTTGTCT